CTACTAGTAAGGCACTTGTTACTAGAAGCGATGCACTTGTTCCTAGTAGCTTATTGTTTCTAATTGTATTTCTTGTTTCTAATAGCTTCTTGTTAGTAGTAAGGCCAGGAGCACCTAGTAGCGTCCTTTTCTAAGACGAACTAAGCAGAAAGTCGAACATCGAGAATCGATTCGACGCTGATCCCTCCATCCCTCCATCCTCCTCCGCATCCCGGCAAGCCGATGCCAGCGAAGATGTGCACCAGTGCTCCTTCCTCACGAAGGAATGGTTCGAGAAAAGTGATCAGAAAGGTGATCCTTGTCCACATTTCGTGAACGGAAAGTAAATGGGCCCCTGGTTCTGCTTGAGCAATTGGTGTTAATCCATTCATGTTCATATACCACCGCCACCACTATGTTACCGCTTTCAGTATACAGTATACAGATCAAATCTGCCTGAAACAGTGTGATCGGGAAGAAAAAACCAGGCACAACCCAAAAACACAATGACCCATCATCAACCCTGGGGTTTCTACCATCGCAAAATCCATCAAAATGCTACGTACTCCCTGCCAACGCAAGTTTACACCCCGCTTGAAACACTGCATGTAAAAGTCATCGTCCACCCATGTCGATCCAACCCAAGCGCGATTTCGCACACTCCCGCGCACCTGCTCCGGTGCATTCCGGAAGAGAAGGTTCACCCCGATGGCTGAGCAGTGCGGAGGCAAAGACGCCAAGTGGTGCACGATGCTGGTTTCACCACAAGAGTTACGAATTCATCAAGGCTGCTTGAGTGCGAGTATATCCGGAAGTTTCGGGAAAAGACCGGACATACAAGGTGTCTTTGGGGTATACTGGCACCACTCAATGACCGGAAGCCGATGTCCACACTTTGGGCTGGTGCGATTGTTCAGCTCGTCCCAGGAAAATAAGACAACGACCTGAGATCCGTCCAAACACTGCCTGGACCTGATGTCCTTTGTCACATGATCTCACATTAGCAATCAGATGCGATCAGCGAATTTTCTCACCAGAGTCTTCAGTCTCCCCAACACACCCAGGATCCGCCCAGCGCCCCCAGGCTACTGGGCCATAGTCGATCACCACCGTGAGGGAGAGAACCACGTCGTCCTTGAAAGCGGGTCGCTAGAAGCCAAGAGCACCCCAACGCCATTCGATGAACATGTGTGAACATGTGTGAACATCCTCTGCATGCAGTAGGTTCGAGGCCATCGCTCTTAGGTTGGAGACCATCACTCTTAGGTTGGAGGCCATCGCTTTTAGGTTGGAGGCCATCGCTTCTAGTTGGAGGCCAT